TCGTGCGTATGTGGGGTAAAGCAGCGGGGCTTTTATTATGCCACAGTCGATACATTTAGTTCTGTTATAATGCTACTCTGTGCTGTCGTCACCGGTCTATTAAAACACAACATATTAAAGCGTCTTTGCTGTTTCCATGTTTTCTGGAAATCGAGGGGTTATGACGTCATCGGCAGGCGACAATGACACTATAGACACGCTCTGTGTCACTAGTTAAAATTGCTTATTTCTCTGGATTTAAACATTCTTCGAAACATTTGGCATAATGTACACAAGTCAGCAAAATATATAACACTGTTCTAGTGGTTTTTGGATATTTTAATGTAAAAAATCTTACATATTGTGCCTTTAAGACCTCTTAAAATGATAAAGACTTATGCTCCATTTACGATATTTAAAGTCTGCATGTTTGCACGAGGGCACATGAATTAAAAGAAAATTAATGGTGTGCATGGATAAATCATAGATAATGAACACTCTCAGTGTCTTGATTGATATCAATATGATCAATATACACTGACAGGACTGATGACGGACACAGATTCTCTCAGTCACACAGCTGAGGTCATGTGACGTCACACGTCTGCTCACCTTCCAGCATCTGGTGGTCATTGAGCGCGGGGTACGGCAGCTCGCCCAGACTGAACACCTCCCACATCAGCACCCCGAACGCCCAGACGTCTGCCTTACTGCAGAACTCTCCCTCAAACACACTCTCAGCCGGCAGCCAGCGCAGCGGGATCCACACCTGCCTGTGCTGATAGTACTCGCTGAACACACAGAGACAGAGACAGAGACACAGACAGAGAGAGAGAGACACACACACACACATCAGCACATGTGACTGAGCTTCATCAACACTAGATGGCGCTCTGCACACATGTGAACACTGGCAGCAGATCTCAGCTCTTTAATGATCATCAAATGGACTGAAGGAGCTGATACCTGTTATAGACGTCTTTACTCAGACTGAGCGCAGACACCTTCACGTGTCTCTGTCCGCTGATCAGACAGTTCCTGGCCGCCAGGTCTTTATGCACAAAACCCCTGTTTGATAAATGCTGCATCCCATGAGCCACCTGAGCACAGATAGAGACCTGCGGAGCACCGTGAACATCAACACAGAGTCACACGAGTTATTAAACACACAAACCACCTCAGGGACACAGCAACAGGTAAAATAATAATGAATGGTCACAGGAAGAACTTGCTTTAGTTCTAGTGCTGATGGGATGCGGCTTGAGTTTCTCATCGCTGCTTTTTGATATTCTGAGGAACTGTTTGAGATCACCCTGAAAAACACGAGAAAAGCACTCACATCAGCATTAACAAACAGAAAATCATCATACGTAGGTGCATCAGATAAAAGTTTAATACAGACATGAAAAACTGGATAAATCCTGAGGAAGTTCGATTGACCGCAATGTTGCTTATAAAGACAATAAAGTAAAATATTGTGATGCAAGCTTAATCTTAATGTTCTGGTCATTTTGACCCAGAGAGGATTTTATTGTTCCTGAAAATGCTAGTCAATTTTAAAGCATTGGACTAAAACTTACGGACTTATAATTTTTTTACTTTTGGGGCATTTTTTCCCCACTTTGTTAGGCTCAAAAATGACCGGCCTACAAAAACTAATTATAAATGTCGCATTATTCTATAATTCTATAATATCACATATAGTATCACTATACTCTCATTCCGGCGTAATAATCAAGCAGCTTTGCTGCCATAGCATGGGTGCAGCAGGAGCAATGATATTACGCAGCGCCTGGAAACAGGCTAACTTCCGTCAACATAACCAACGTGGCCACCTGCTAGCACAGGGAGCGTGCTGGGGACTATTTCCAGGCACTGCGTAATATCATTGCTCCTGCTGCACACATGCTACGGCAGCAAAGCTCCTTGATTATTACGCCGGAATGAGAGTATAGTTCCTAGCCATATCGGCCGAGAAAATCACAACTTTTCATTTTCCGTCAGTCTTAGTACACGACGCAACTACAGAAGAGTACAGTTTTAAATAGGAAAAATATAGAAACTCTTTGGTCATTTTTGAGCGAGACGCTAACGGTCTAACCAGATTCAATGGTCTATGCTAAGCTACAGCTAAAAGTGCTACCGCCAGACCCGGAGATCGGCTGAATGGATTCGAAAACTGTAAACCTCAACTGTTTAACTCTAGGCCAGTTGGAAAATGAGCCTATTTTCAAAAATAGTGGAGTGTTCCTTTAAGAAATGTGCAGGATTGATACATTCAAACAGAAACGGTGTGTATGCTGATTTATATTATTCATACTGCTAATTAAGTGAAAGATAATTAGGACACATAAATGTGTGTTTTGTGTGTACACAAGCCAAACTAATTAAAATATAAGCGTGCATGCTGCATATATATTAACAAAGGATTTTAATGCGTTTAGTACCAGATCCACGTATTCCAGGATCATGTAATGAGGTTGGGTTTCTCTGCAGATTCCCAGCAGTCGCACGACGTGAGCGTGATTGAGTTTGCTGAACATCTCCAGCTCTCGTCTGAACTCAGATCGGTGCGTTTCCTCTCGGCTCTCTAAACTCTTGACCAGCACCAGTGTCTCCGGCTCGGTCTCCTCTATCGCCCTCGCTTTAGCCAGAAACACCTCGCCGAACACACCACGACCTGCACACACACAGACACACAGAGACACACACACACACACACAGAGACACACACACACACAGAGACACACACACACACAGAGACACACAGAGACACACACGCACACACACACAGAGACACACACGCACACACACGCACACACACAGAGACACACACGCACACACAGAGACACACACGCACACAGAGACACAGAGAGAGAGACACACACACACAGAGACGTTGTGATGTTTTTATCAGCTGTTTGGACTCTCATTCTGACGGCACCCATTCACTGCAGAGCATCCATTGCTGAGACACTGATGCAGTGCTACATTTCTCCAAATCTGATGAAGAAACACTCATCCTGATCTTAGATGAGCACATTTTCAGCACATTTTAATTGTATCCCTTTAATAAATGAATATGATGTGCTGGAGGAAGAGTTATTATGGACTCATATTTGAGTTAAAAGCGTCTTAATGCTGGATGTGTTTCAGCTTTTGTCTTCTCCAGATGTTAACTGATGGACTGGAGTGCTGTGGATTATTGTGATGTTTTTATCAGCTGTTTGGACTCTCATTCTGACGGCACCCATTCACTGCAGAGCATCCATTGCTGAGACACTGATGCAGTGCTGCATTTCTCCAAATCTGATGAAGAAACACTCATCCTGATCTTGGATGAGCACATTTTCAGCACATTTTAATTGTATCCCTTTAATAAATGAATATGATGTGATTTCTTTAAGTAATATCCTAAATCTAGAAGCAAATATCATCATAATGTAAAATCTTTTAAATGATTATTACTGTAAAAGTGCACTGAAGTGAGTTTGGTTCTGTTCTGCTGATTGATTACCCAGTGAGGTGATGGTCTGCAGGTGCGCTCTGGGAAAGTGCAGCTCGTCACCGCAGCTCTGCTGTTTCTCGGAGTCTGCTGAAGGTCTCATGCTGCTTAGAGCCACTTCTTCATGGATCTCAGACACCCTGTGGCCGTTCAGCTGAACACCTAGAGGAAACACACACACACTCTTCGCAAACATCTCTAAATAATGTGTGAAAACAGAACTTGTGCCTAATGACAAGACTGTTGGGAAGCATTAGAAATGACACGTTGAACAGCCACTACATATAAGAGACGTATAGCTCAAAACAGGCAGATATCAGCTGGTTGATTAGTCTAGATGATCTCAGTCTAGATGACACACACGTACCGTTCAGACACTCCATCTCGGGCTCTTCTCCGGCGCGGTTCTTCTGCAGCCGTTTGCTCTTGCGTCTCTGTTTGCAGTAGAACATCAGTCCCAGCACAGCGATGATGTACGCCACGGCCACGGCCACCGACAGAGCGATCGTCTGGAACATCTTAAACTGACTCTTATCCTCGTCTTCACTGCGCGGGTGCACAGGCTTCTCTGAGAACAGAGACGCATCACAAAACACTACAGTAAACCTGTAGCAAAATCACTGTAAACTTGATTTAAAGTGAAAACGAGTTTTCATTCCTCAGTGATAGATATTTGCTCTTGTTTTAAGCTCTAAACTCACTTCAAGGATGTTTAGATTTGTACTGAAAACAAAATTACTGAGGAAATGCAGTGTATGCAACATTTAATGCCATGACTTTATGAATGTAAGACTTTCTGCTCTGATTTAAGACTTTTTAAAGCCTTAATTTGTAGAAGGGCGAATTAAGACTTTTTTAAACCCACAGAAACCCTGTGTATTGTATGAAGCACTATGGAAATAGATGTGAAATATGAAATAACAAACACACTGTATGATCTGTGTGTGAGTGTGTGCATAAACACTATGACTTCTCAAGCTAAAATCTGCCTTATTTATTAAAAAAAAACACAAAAAAAAACAAACAAAACAAAAACACACCAATCAGGTTAAACTGTTCCTCGTGTGAGTTAGTGTTCCTCACCCACGACATAGAGCTGCGCTGCCGTGTCTCTGATGTTGCAGGTGTTTCCTGCGATGCAGGTGTACACGCCCGTGTCCTCAGTGGTCACATCACTAATGACCAGAGAGCCGTTGGGCATCTTCTGAAACCTGGAGAAACACAATCAACACACGTCAACATCAGCGGCATGAAGGATCATCATGTATGTGTGAGACAGACTGGTGGATTGAGACAGACAGATGGAGTGAGACAGACTGATGGAGTGAGACAGACAGACAGGTGCAGTGAGACAGACAGGTGGAGTGAGACAGATTATGACTGCAGTAAAAGATTATGAGATGCATTATTTGAATGCTTGGCCAAAGAGATGTGTCTTTAATCTAGATTTAAACAGAGAGAGTGTGTCTGAACCCCGAACGGTATCAGGAAGGCTATTCCAGAGTTTGGGAGCCAAATGCGAAAAAGCTCTACCTCCTTTAGTGGACTTTGATATCCTAGGGACTACCAAAAGTCCAGAATTTTGCGACCTTAGAGAGCGTGATGGATTGTAGCGTGGTAGAAGACTAGTTAGGTACGCAGGAGCTAAACCATTAAGGGCCTTATAGGCAAGTAATAATATTTTGTAACTGATACAGAACTTAACAGGTAGCCAGTGCAGAGACTGTAAAATTGGGGTAATATGATCATATTTTCTTGACCTGGTAAGGACTCTAGCCGCTGCATTTTGGACGACCTGTAGCTTGTTTATTGAAGATGCAGGACAACCACCTAGAAGTGCATTACAATAGTCCAGAGACAGACAGAGACACAGACAGGCAGGTGGAGTGAGACAGACTGGTGCAGAGAGACAGACAGATGGAGTGAGACAGACAGACAGGTGGAGTGAGACAGACTGGTGCAGTGAGACAGACAGAGCCAGACAGATACACAGACAGGCAGGTGCAGTGAGACAGGCAGCTGCAGTGAGACAGAGACACGGACAGGCAGGTGGAGTGAGACAGGCAGGTGCAGTGAGACAGACAGAGACACAGACAGGCAGGTGGAGTGAGACAGACAGAGACACAGACAGGCAGGTGGAGTGAGAGAGACAGACAGGTGCAGTGAGACAGACAGAGACACAGACAGGCAGGTGGAGTGAGACAGACAGGTGCAGTGAGACAGGCAGCTGCAGTGAGAGACCGGTGCAGTGAGACAGGCAGAGACACAGACAGGCAGGTGGAGTGAGACAGGCAGGTGGAGTGAGACAGGCAGGTGCAGTGAGACAGGCAGGTGCAGTGAGAGACAGAGACACGGACAGGCAGGTGGAGTGAGATCACTGGCCTGCTGGAGCTGCTGCTGCTGAGTAGTTTGTCTTTGAGCATCCACTGGACGTACGGCTGCGGGTCACCTGACGCCTGACAGTGAAGCACAGCCGTGTGACCCTGATAGACTGTGGTCTGCTCCGGCTCCAGCTTAAACTCCACGTGAACTGACAAAACACAGATGGACGCGAGTGTGTCAGTGTGTGTGGAACAACTCACATGACCTCATGATCAACCACAGCGTTCAAATCTAAGACACACACCTCCTACAGTGAGATGGACGTGCACTCGTATCTCTCCCTGCGCGCTGCTGGACGCCACACACGTGTAGTTCCCTCCATCGGCGCGGGTCACTGTACTGAAGCGCAGAACTCCGTTCATCTGACTCACGTGAGACGGGAGATCAGCGCCGTCTGCGGAGACACACGCATGAGAAACCAGCTCAAACACACCAGACATCACTGCACAGCAACAGCAAGCCATTCGGTTTCAATCAGAGCTGCCCAGCTAACAATAAAAGTATGTTATGTGATCGTTAAGGTAACATTCCATTGTATGTCTCTGACCTGCTCTGCTCCAGTGTATGATGGGCGTCTCTCGTCCTGCAGCAACACAGCTGACGCTGCTCTCTCGGTCCAGCTGCAGACACTGCGACGGCTGCGGGATGGGCGTGAACTTCAACTTCTCTGAGAGAGATGCACATTAATTACAAACTATTTTCCTGTTTGACACTGTAAAGCTGCTTTGACACAATCAGTATTGTACAGTATAGAGCTGCTCCAGTGTATGATGGGCGTCTCTCGTCCTGCAGCAACACAGCTGACGCTGCTCTCTCGGTCCAGCTGCAGACACTGCGACGGCTGCGGGATGGGCGTGAACTTCAACTTCTCTGAGAGAGATGCACATTAATTACAAACTATTTTCCTGTTTGACACTGTAAAGCTGCTTTGACAATCAGTATTGTACAGTATAGAGTGCTATACAAATAAAGGTGACTTGAGTTGACAACTCTCGGAGGGATTGGCATGGTAATGTACATGACAATGTTAATATATTTGGTCTTTACCGAGTACCGAGACTTGCTACTGCCAATACATCCACAATGCTGCTGTGAGCATGTAAGAAATACTGCTGCTGCAAATATAACATACATGAAACAACCCCCCACAAAGCATACATGAATCACCTCGTAGCAGATCTATACAGGTGGAGCTGGGGAAGGTGGAGGGATTCTGAAGCAAGCTGCACTGCTGCTGCAAGCACTAGTCATATATTTGAATGTTGAGCAGCGAGCTCATTGGCTACCGATACAGGAGAGAACCCTGCTCACACACAAACCTCTCTGCACTTTGATTAAAACATTATTAATTACTTTATTTAGTAAGCTGTCAGCCTTCAGTGCTGCTGCTAATCATGACGATGTGTATATGTTCCTCTCACCCAGTATGAGAACCTGCGCGTGTCCGATGAGCGATCCGCCCTCCGTCACACACACACAGCTGTACGTCTGAGCGTCCTTCAGCTCTGCGCTGTTGATCCTCAGCGTCCCGTTAGAGAAGAGCTTATAACGAGAGCCCTACAGACAGAGAGTGTGTTAAACCTGACGCGGTGTGATCTGATGAGGCGTGACGACTGCGTTCATTCACTCATTCACCTCCTCACTGATCGGGACGCTCTTGCGGTACCATGTGACCCGTGGTTCAGGCGTGCCCCGTGCGTGACAGTGCAGGAAACCCGGCTGACCCTCCTCGACGCGTGTGTCCTGCGGCTGAACGATCCATTCTGGAGAGGCTGTGACACACACACACACACATTAGTGAGGTTCTCTCATAAACTTCCACTGTTTTCATTTAAAGATTCTAGTATGTCTCTAAACATCACACATATTTGACGCACACATTTCTAAAGCTCTAAATACTCAAACTTTGCTGTTAAACCCGTTTCACACTATCTCCTGCATGTCTTCTATCGTCTGATTGATAGTTTAGAGTTTTTTTTATGCAGTCAAAGCTCTTTTAGTGTAATTGTACAAGCGTCCAGCTTCAGCTGGAGCTTCTCGTGTCAAATCTTGACTGGTTTTGATCAAGTAAAGTATATAACTGCAGTAATATCTCCAGATGAACTCTTACTGCACTGAAGCAGCTCAGCTTTACTTGATTCTCCATCAATCATGTTTTAGAGTCTCAAATCTGATCCTCAGGATCTTTTGAGGAGCGTTTGTTTCCAGAAGCTTTACTTTCACTGTTCCTCAGCGGAGGAATGATCTTCACAAGCCTCCAGAACATCTCACATCTTCTGAGGAGCCTTTATTTCTTCAGCTCTCGATCACTGCATTATATGTTTGGAGCATTTCAATCTTATCTCACTGAGACATGTTACTGGAGATATAGAGCGACTGCTGATATTCAGATCATTTTATATCAGTATCTGCTGCACTGTTATAAAGATGTCATTGATTTACATCACAAGCAGCAGAATTTCATCAGATAAATATCAGCATCTGCAGCAAATTCATATTTTTGAATAAAACTGAGCTGTTTTTCCTCCATATTCTCACTCTATCAGACTATATGAACCATAAAAGCCTGATGGCTCAAATATGATGCTCAACAAAAAACACTATTTTTGGGAGATTTGTCTAAAGGTTTAATAAATTGTTCAATTAAAAAAAGTTAGTCTTTATAGGGTTAATATTTGTGAACCTACTAAAAATCCCAGATCTTATGAAAGACCAGCTTCTGATTTATTAGTAATTCCAGCAAACGAAGGGTTAAAGACTGCTGTCTCACTGGGCCACCTGTGATCAGTGTGGAGCTTGGCTAGTTAGTTAATTATTTAGTTAGTTAGTTTAGTTTGGTGTTTCACCCACTGGCTACAGTGACCACGAGCTCCTGCTGCTTCTGTCCGGCTGTGTTGCGGGCGACACACGTGTAGACGCCCGAGTCTGGGCCGTCTGTGGGGTTGAAGATCAGATCTCCGTCCCGCTGATGGACTCGACCCTCAGACGCCACTCGAGCTCCCGCACGCTCCCACCACACCTGCGGCTCCGGCTGACCCTGCGGTGGATCACAGCGCACACGCTCACCGCGGCCCGCCGTGAAAACCCGGAACATGCGCTCGCCCATGTCTGCGATCTCTACAGAGAGACATAAACACCGGAGCTGAGAACAGATATAGTTTTTATATTATTTCTTTTTGTTAAACATTTAGTATTTTTTGTTTTTTTGCATATTTTTCTTCATTTTCTTTGTTTTTTTTAACATGTCTACATAGGTTTTATTATTTTATGTCAGATGAAAATAGAAATGTTGCCTTTGGAACTAGCTAAAAATATATATTTTTTATATTTAATTTTATTTTCAGTTTATTTTAAGTGTGTGTGTGAGTGTATTTGTTTTGTCTATATTTGTGTGGACCAAATGTTCTTACTTCTATTGTGAAATTTTCAATTAAATTCAGTTTTATTTATAAAGCACATTTAAAATCAACCTTAATTGGCCAAAGTGCTGTACGAAACAATTAAGTAACAATTAAATCGGAGAGATATTTAGCCAAGTCGTTGAGAGCTTTGTAAACAAATACCAGAATTTTGTAGTCATTTTGATATATGAGTGGCAGCCAATGCAAAGAACGTAAGATTGGTGTGATATGGTCTCGCGAGACGCGCGACAAGCACATAATTGATCCCAGAAGTAACATATATAACGACAATAATAATGGTGCTAAAACCGATCCCTGGATGTGAGTGGTTGTGTGTGTGTGTGTGTGTGCGCGCATGTGAGTGGTTGTGTGTGTGTGTGTGTGTGCGCACATGTGAGTGGTAAAAACCATTACGCCTATGGAGAGTCCCCATAAGGATAACTGACCAGACATGTGTGTGAGAGAGAGAGAGTGTGTGTGTGTGAGTGAGTCTTCTCTCACCTGCGATCCTGAGTGCTGCCTCCACATGTACTTGTTTGTTTTCTCCATACTGAGCCACACATTTATACACACCTGTGCTGCGCTGCTTCACCTGACTGATGTGCAGTGTGCCGTTAGCGTACACCACAAACCTGCCACACACACACACACGGTTAGTTACAGCAATAAACCACTGCAAGATCATCGTAAAATGTAATTAAATTAGTAAAATCACTGTAAATGTACAGAATTCAGCAACACGATACATTGTTAATTTTATTAATAACCAGAATATAAACAATTCTGCCACAAACGTGGTGTTGATTAGAGCAGTTTACTGTTGCTAAGTGACGCATGTGGGTCACGGGTGTGTGTTTAAGGCTTCAGACGCGGATCAGACACAATCTGTCTGATCAATCACAATCTAACGCTCAGATTCAGTCTAAGAGAAGCAAACGCCTGCAATCCCAGAATCCCCCGAGTGTGTTTACAGCTGAAGACGTGTTTGAACACTTTACAAGCTGACGAACAACTGAAAGCATGCGTCAGATGAGAGCAGAATCAAACACATTTACAGTACCAGACAGATTACACCGCAGATAATATCGATGTCAAACACAACTGATAAAGTCTCCCTCAATTACACGATGAGCAGCCTGTGAGCACTCCTGAATAATACTAATATTTTAAAATTAGACTTCACTTTGAATTTAAAGTTTTAGTAATTTTGTTGTTTTGTCATTTTTATTATTTTTTTAATGTCATTAAACATCTAAATGACGTCAATGGAAGGAAAATCCTTCATAATAAAGATTTAAAACATCTCATGAAATGCATGAAGCTCCTTTATTACAACAATTCAATAAAAACGGGCTGTAATGTTTCGGAGACGTCATGAGCATGAATCTGGAGAGATCTGCAGTGCGCCACAGTTTTAAAGTGTTGAGATTAGTGCAGGATGTTATTAGTGCATCAAAGCAGAACGTGCCCAAACATTCACTGGACTTCCCATGATGCACCAGTGATGGATCATTTATCTGTGGGTGGTCAGACCTTCTGAACAGCTTTACGTTCAACAGACTCACAGTCAATATAGTTTCTAATCATTTTTTTTTGGTTAAGATTAACATACATACATACATATAGTAAGTAAGTAAATGTTTAGTTTAGATTTTTTATACATTTTTAGCTTAGACATATTTTGTTTTCATTTTAATTAAAGTTTTAGCATTAGGAAACATTCAGCATGTGAAGCTTCTCACCGTGATTTGTTGAGGACGGGTTCTGCGTCGTGGAACCACTCGATCAGCGGCGGTGGCTTGGCTCTGAACTGACAGTGAAACACGGCCTCCTCATCACGCAGAACCACCTGATCCACCGGAGCCACCAGCACACGGGGAACAGACTCATCTGAACACAGAGAGAGAGAGAGAGAGAAGAGTCACGCTTGATCTGATGAATATACAGCATGAGACACACACACACACACACACACACTCATCTACATGCTGCCTTTCATTATTGCCAGTTGCTAACAGCACTGACAGCACCTGTCATGTGTCACGTGAACTTTGACCTTTAGCACACCTGGATCAGACCACATTCCACAGACAGAAACTCATCCGACCGTCCCTCCGGTTGATCCTTGTGCTCCTGCAGGACGTGATTCTATAAATCACCCTTTACTGATTTACAGTAACATTTACAAACATCATCACATTAAATAAACTTATTCATGAAACATAACTCACATAGTCATTTTAATGTGAATGCAATGAATATTTGAATCAAATACTTATCTTTTCAGCATTTTATGGTAATTTCATCAAGGTCATTTTGTGTTGATAATTTTCTAATCATTTAATCAAGTTAGTTTTGTGTTCAAATGTTCATTTTAAGTTTTGAACTTTTGAATCAATTATTCATGATCCAACATAACACTTGATAAAATTATTAATGACATTTATGTAGTCAATCACAGCTGATTTATCTGTGCATCTGTAATCATGTCACATTGTAGATCAGACAGACGCGCTCTGGGATCAGACAGACGCGCCCTCGGATCAGACAGACGCGCTCTATATCACAGACACGCTCTAGCATCAGACACACTGTAGATCAGACAGACGTGCTCTAGGTTCAGACAGACACGCTCTAGCATCAGACACACTGTAGATCAGACAGAC